GAGAGAGAGAGAGACAGAGACAAAAAAAAAAAAAGGAGTCGCACTTACCTCCAGTAATGTGCCCGAAACCAAAGCCAAAAGTGCGCCTCGACGGACGTCCAGGTCCACCTCAGCATCCGAGTCGCTGGCCTACGAACGGCACGGGTACGCGTGCGTACCTGTGTGAGTGCGAGTGCGTGCGCTTGCGTATGTGCGAGTGTGAGCGCTGTGTGACCATCTGGACTGTGTGGTTGAGTGCACGCGTACGAGTGCGGATGCGTGAGTTAGCGAATGTGTGCGTACTGTGTGTGAGAGATGTGTGAGTGTCATGTGTTTTCGTGCCTGTGCCTGTGTGTGTGAGGGATGTGTCAGTGTATTCTGTATGCGTGTGTGCTTGCGTGTGCTTGTGTGTGCTTGTGTGTGTACTTGTGTGCCTCTGTGTGTGTGTGTGCGTCTGTGCGTGTGCGTGTGCGTGTGCGTCTGTGCGTGTGCGCGTGAGTCACCAACCAACGACCAGTTTACCTCAATGATGCGTCAGTGTAATCTGTACGCGTGTGTGCTTGCGTGTGCTTGTGTGTGTGTACTTGTGTGCCTGTGTGTGTGTGTGTGTGCGTGTGTGCGTGCGCGCATGCGTGAGAGTCACCAACCAACGGCCAGTTTGCCTCAATGACAACCGGCGACCGCGGCTTCAAAACGGCCCTTTCCAAAACCGCGCCACCGGCCGTCATTTCCCGCGACTCCCGGTCCATCGGTAGCGCTCCGATCGGGCCCATCAGAAGAAAGGCAACGAGCATGGGCTTTTTTTGTTTGTTTTTTAAATGGGAATTTTTCCCGATTCGGTTGGCGAGAACAAAAAAAAAAAAAAAAAAAAAAAAAAAAAAAAAAATTGGCCATCAAAAAAAAAGAAAAAAAAAGGCCATAAAAAATGCAGGTAGCTCAGTTGGTGCACCACTGAACTGTCCATTTCTCGATTTATGCGTGTCATCCTTGAGTGCGCAGGGGCCATGCTAATCTTCTGTTTATCGTTCCAATGTTAACGGATGTCCCGAAGGACACCACTGAACTGTCGAAACACAGACCCAAGCTCGAACTCCACTGGGAGCAGATGCGAAAAATATTGCGATTCTGAATTACCTACTGTAGGACCGGTCAGTTCAAATGATGATATCCGTCCTTCGGGACATCCGGAGAAGATTAGCAAATGGCCCCTGCGCAAGGATGCCACGCATAAATCGAGAAATGGTCCAAATGATGATATCTCAAGGCCGTATAAATGCAGGTGCAGGTGGCTGCGCAATTGGAGGAGAAGTTCCCCTTCCTTCCCAAAGTAACGGCTCCTGGCCGTTTTTCCCTCCCGCTAAAGAAAAGGCCCCTGGCCATTTACAAGAGGGTGGTCCCGCCCTCTGACCTTGCAAAATGGGGAGATGCTACCTTCTTCCCCCGAATACAACGTACGGTCATTATAGTAGCTGTATTTTTGGGGCATCTGTCAGTCTAAATACAGCCATAATGACCGGACGTTGTATTCGGGGGAAGAGGGTAGTTTCCCTCGCATTTCGCGCCACAACAATGGGCGCCCTTCACACCACTTGAAAGTGCTTGAATTTATAAAAAGAAAAAGAAAAAAAAAAGTGCTTGAATTTCAAGTGCCGCCCTTGAGCGCCAAATGCCAGGAGCTCTCCCATCCAATACAGCTAGCAGAAAAATATGAAATTGAAATGCAGACGAATACAGATGTGTGTGAGTCGGTTGTGTGTGGTGTGTGGAAGAGTGTTGGGGCCTTAGACTCTGCGGTTACTTGCAGGAACCTATCAGGAGGCTTCGTGTGCTGACCACGCATTGGAGCAGTGGAGGGTCACGTGGTGGATTTGAGCAACAACAGCCATCCGTGTGGTGTTGTGTGTGCTGTGACTGAGTAGGACACTACATCCTTGCAGGGGGTGCGGTGGATATCACGACCTGCATGATTCCAATCCTGGCAAGGGGCAACATACAATCCCTTTGTAGCTATGCTTGCACAGGTCCCCTGTGAAGCCTTAGGAGTAGTGGTAGGTAGGTAGTGGAAGGTGAATTGATAGATAGTAGAAGGTGAATTGAGAGAAGGATATTGCGTAGTTTTGAAGGACAAACTATGCGGGAGTCACAAAAATACATTTAGGGCGAAAAACAGTTTCAAATTGCACTTCGGGCTGTGTATACAAGCTGGCTTTCCGGTCCGGTAGGGTTGGGTGGGGGGCGTGTTATGTTCGGGGGAATGCCTAAGTGTAATTTGAAACTGTTTTTGTGACTGTACTGAAGTTGCCCCCAACCGGAAACAAAACAGAGAAAACACACAGATATCTGCTTCGGGCATGTGAGAGAAGCGGTTAACAGATCCCGGATGACAAGAGGGGACACAGCTACACTCAATCGCCTTTGGCTGAAGACGCTACTGACTTGACGACACCAGATAGTCTTGCTAATGTCCTAGCTGGGCTTCACAATTGGAGGCTGCATCCACAACAACTTCGCTCGCCTGTCCAGTCCGATGGATTAGACGTCATCAAAAACAGACAGCTAGATGTTGGTGACAAGTTGGAAACAAGTGGATGACTTTGACAGATGTGTTAGCGAACTGAACAACATCAAGATGGACCAACTGATGGAGGTGATGCAAGAAACATCCACGAGTGGGCTTCCCAATTTTTTTTGATGGCTCCATCAGTGGGGACCTACACCTGCTGGAAAAAGGGTCCAGCATCCCAGTGACAAAATCGAGAGACAATACACTTGAAGGCGCATTGATTGCCCTCAAACAGCAAGGGGATTAACTGCCCTCCCTTCAAAACATGGTTCCCTTGGGCATCACTCAACAACTGCCAAACTGGCAGCCCGCTGCCCCCTGCCACAGCAGCCTATCACTCTGCTCTTCAACCTGTCAAACAATATGATCTGGGCACAAAGACAAAAAAAACTCAATAATAATAAGAAGAAGATGGCATGAGCTTTGATTTCATGGTGCTATCAATTTCCTCCCTAGGTTACATCGATGCACAGTGTCGAGGAAGTTGATCCTTCTGCTCATACACCTTTTAGATTGAGGATGATGCACGATTTCTACATTCTATGAGTACTTCCGGTAGTCCAACACTCCTAAGCCATATCTGCAGACGAGCGTTGGGTGCTTCTCCGGCAGCCCCTTGGGATTCAAAAAGCCCAAAATTATCACGAAACAAAATAACGGCCCAAAATTCCCCGATAGGCCTTGAGCGGATTCCTACAGGGTGCAACACCCCTAATCTGGTAGCCACTTACTTCTTAGAAGCAAAAATTAAATTAAAAAAAGAAAACTTACTTTCTAAAAAATTTGGCCACTGCCCACCTTACCCTGCAAAATGACAAAACCAAAGTTTCGCTTTTTATTACCATCAAGGGAGACTTTATACTGTGTTTGTTGATGCTCCTCAACTCGATTTTACTTAGTCACTTTGTAGGTACCGTAGCCACTCATACCCCATCTTGCAACATAGCTTACTCAAATTTTGTTGTCACCGTAGCTGGCTCCGAGGTCGAAAGCCATTGGAACTTAGTGGCAGTACCACACTGCCCACAAACCTTTATCTGGGTACCGACACTCACCCATTTGAACTAAGTTTCTTCGTCTGCAGCGGTCATCGCAACATATGTATCATATTCAAAATCTAATCCCACAGGCCTCGACCTTCCCTTCTCTTAATCCATATTAACCGAGTTTCTATTGTACCCTTGACCCGACGAAGTCAACAACCCCAACACTTGGGTCCATACACCCAAGTTTCAAGCCTAGTGGATAGCATATTGTTACTTTATCAAGACATTGTTCTACTTTTTTCTTTTCGTCAAGGTCTCGCTTGGTATTGTTACTTTATCAAGACATTGTTCTACTTTTTTCTTTTCGTCAAGGTCTCGCTTGGGATAGAAGGACATGATGAAGAGATCATCAATATACCTTTTCAATAAGTTTTGCACTGTTGCCAAGTGAACCCAATAACTGGTATTCAAAGAACATACATAAAACACAGGTTAGTGCAAGGCCCAAGGCCGGCCCATTTACTTACATATGATCAGATACTAAAAATAACTTGTTATTGAGTTAGTAATTAGTCAATATGACCAGAAACTTCATTCAGACAAATTTATCGTCCAGTTCCTCGCGTGCCAGTGACTTTCTGAAAACGGTCACTTTCTCATTTGTCTTAACCCATATTCACTTGACTCCTTTGCATATAAACAGTTTTGTTATCGATTCAATAACTCGGTGTATCTCCTATTGGGGTAGTTGGGTAAACATTTCATTTGTGTCGTAGGTTCATGCTACAGTGTTACGGTTAGCACAACTTATTGGTTCATTATGTCAATTGTTTTTTCATACAACAAATTGGTTGCGTATTCAATAGTAAAACCTTGACCCTTTTTATTATAAAATTTAAAGTTATGGATAAGATTCACAATGTTAATCTAAAAGGGCTATCATAAGATGACATGATCAATTTTTTTTTGAACCTATATTTTTGTGCAGTAATAATTTATGCAATGTTGCAAATCGTTATTCATATCCCATATAGCGATACTTCTCAATTTTAACTTGTTATATTAAAGCTTCATTTCATTCAAAATGAAATCCTTGTTTTATCTAAAACAACGTAGTTATCATTGTCAAGGCACATTTTATCCAATTCAGTTTTATATAGTTTGGGACACTCAACCCACATTTCACTCGTATGCAAAAAAAAAAAAAAAAAAAAAAAAGTTAAATAATCATTCTATAGTAAAATTACATTCAGAATTTTAAAATTTCATTCCATCTTAAAAAATGTCATTCCAATTTTAAAATTTTCCGTCTTACTTGAAAATTTTCATTTCACGAATGAAGTATTCCTTCTTATTTGAACTTGATGCTATAGATGAAATAAAAGTCTGGATGAATTCATGAAATATTTTAATTGGACAGTCATGTACTGACGAACACAACAGATAATAAGAAAAATGGTTCCTACGATGACATGAAAGCCATGAAATCCAGCAGCTAAAAAGAATGTAGAGCCATATATCCCATCAGAAATGGTAAAAATCTAAGTAAGGATTTTCAGTTATAGATAGGTTAATCCAATCGAAAAAAAAAATAGTTCAATTAAAACATTGCATAAACTCGACTAGACTTTCATTCCATTTTGAACTAATAGATGTAGTTGGACGGGAAAACTCATATTTAGACAGAAACTTATCAAATAAAACTGAAAATTTTAGAGTCAGATAAACATTTGAATGATAATTTATAAATATGAAAGTCATAAGAAAGTTGTCTCACCCACAATATACTTACTCATTACATATTTATTTTTTATACTTTCTTATTTTTTACATATAGCAAGTTAGTCCACATACATTATTTCAGTTGTGAAAGTCATATCACGTAAACATTAAAGTGTCTTAGTCCACATACATTATTTCACTTGTCAAACTCATACCACGTAAACATTAAAGTACCTC